CAGTAACAAAGCACTCCCCCTGAGGTAACGTTTCTCTGGTCTCAGTACTTCCCTTATGTCCTCCTCACTAGCACACTTGTCCTTCAAGATGACAGTCAGGACGGATATCAGGAGATGGATTCTGGAAAGATCTGGCCACGATCCCCCAGCATCCCATTATAACTGAGTCCCAAGACAGGGTGAAGGACATGTGTTTATCCACGGGGACCCACTTCCCACACAGCAATGCCAAAGCTCACACACATGCACTCACATGCCCGAAGATCTGAGGGAAGTGAGATCACAGTTCTGGTCCACCCTGTGTAGCAATTCTGGCTTGGTGATCGGATGCTTCTTTTGGTACTTGAGGAGCAGGATCTGGGACAATTCAGCTACCAAGTCATCTAGTGCCACACGGTGCAGGATAGGATGGACTAGCACGCCCCGTGGGGTGCATGGACCCTGCTCTTTTGCCTGCTGCAGCCCTCACTGGATTGGCTCATTTGAGTAGAGGCCTTGGCAGGGGCCAGAAGACACCCTGAGGATGCTGGGACATCTTTGTGTCCCAGCCCGAGGAACTTCCCTTGGAATAGTCCCAGTTTGGTGATAGGAGGAAGAGAAGGCCCAGCAGTGGCCGCTGCTTCCTCCCCCTTAGGCTTGAGAAGCTGAACGTGCATCTTGTCACTGTCAAGAGGGCCTCCCCCTAGCTTGCTGCGCTGGCTCCTCTGGCCATGCAGATATAATCAGGTTGCTCGGGGACAGCAAGATTTCAAATTTCTATATCTTGGAAGGAAACTATTAATTTTAAATCAGAAAGAAATGTTTCTAATTTTTTTCTTATTTTATACTGTTTTTCTTTCCCCCTCTTTTCCTTTTTATCTTTCCTTATTTTTATTCTCTATTTAATTTCTTTTCTACTCTTTTTTGTTACTTTCAATTTCTCATTAATTTTTCCATTACCTTTATCTAATTCTGTAAACATCCTTCGTAGGATCATTTCACCTACTTCTCTCTCCTTCTTATATCCAATAGCTTAAGCTTTCTTATTTTTCTTCTTGCATTTCCCCTTTCCCTGCCCATTATATCTTTAGTAGTATAACCACTAATCTTTTTTAATCTCATATAGTTGTTAAATCCATAAAAGTGTTGCTGAAATTTTTTCTACCATTAGTGAAGCTACAGCTGTCACATTTAGTCCATATTAGCTGTATGTCAATGTCTGAGTTGTAGCAATGCTTGCTATATGATTGTGGATTTCTGTTGTATTGTTAAGGGTGGTACCTGTTTGCTTGGGCTTGTATGTTAATATCCAATTTTTCTTGGATGATACTGATCTGGTTGACACTGCCAGCACATAGTTGTTGCCATTAACGAGTTTTGTGTGTATCCCAATACTCAGATTACTTTTGTGACATTAACCATACAGGGCCACATTCCCAGGAAACTTGGTGTTGGGCCGATGACACTGCATCCTCCTCTCCCAAAGTAACAGAGGTGGTCAGATCTTAGGATGGAGCAAAGGACTATACTTAGCTGTTCCCAAAGTACATTCCTGAAAAGCAGACTAACTAAACAGGTCTCTATACAAGCACCAAAGTCTTTCCACTGTAAGTGCATAAACTTCAGCACAAAACAAAGCAAGCAAAAAAATAAGAGGAACATGAAAACAGAAGGCCAGAAAATTCTTCCCCAAACTTTCAACACCCCATAAGCTAATCCACTGGTCATCAAGGAAGAGAGCAGCATAAGCTACACAGCCAAATCATTTGAAAGGATTATGGAGGAGGTTAGGAAATACATTAAAGGAGTGCTTGGCTCAGTCACAGAATATGGAACTAAACAGAAAATGGAAGTATAACCAAAATGATCAAGGAGCTTTCAGAAGACCACAATAACAATCCAGCTGAGCTAAAAATACAAAACTCTACAAAGTATGAATGAACATTTTAGCAAAGAATTATGGTCCATGAAAAGATTTCAATCAGAAATCCAAGAGATTAAAAAGTATGAAAAGTCTCAGGAGGCTGAGGCAGGAGGATCGCTGTGAGTTCGAGACCGGCCTGGGCTCCATAGTGAGTTCCAGGTCAGTCTCAACTACACAGTGAGACCTTGCCTCAAAAAAAAAAGTATTAAAAGCATGGCCAGTAGAAGTGACCAAGAAGAAATAAAAATTTTGAATAATCTGGTATCAGTCAACCAACTGGAAATATATATCTCTAAGTAAGAACAGCCCAAGTTCCAATGGTTTAACTGCCAAATTCATGAAGAACTTTAGAAAAGATGCTTCTCAAACTGTTTAACAAAATTGATAGGGAAACAATACTCCCAAAGTGATCTTTTTTTGAGACAGGGTCTCACTATGTAGTTGAGACTGATCTGGAACTCACTATGTAGCCAAGGCTGGTGTCGTACTTACAGTGATCCTCCTGCCTCAGCCTCCCGAGTGCTGGGATTACAGGCATGAGCCACCATGCCCGCTCCTCATAGTGATTTTTGAAAACAAGCATTACCCTGGTCCCCAAACCAGAAAACAATACAACCAAAAAGAAAAGCCACAGGCCAATCTCTTTAATGAACACAGATGCAAATATCGTCAATAAAACACCAACAAACAGAATGCACCAAATCAGACAGAAGATCATATATCATGACCCATTAGGATTCATATCACAGATGTAGAGATGGTTCAACATGTCCAAATAAAAAAATGTAACACACTGCATAAACAGAGGAAAATACAAAAGAATGCATGATCATTTAATAGATGCAGAACAAATATTTTACAAAGTCATATGTCCATTCATGATGAGAATCCTGAAAAAAATTGTAGAATAACCACATATGAATCTCATAAATGCCATCTACTAAAGACCAATGGTTAAATTCATTAAATGGTCAGAAATGGAAGGCTTTTCCTGTACAATCAGGAATAAGACAAGGGTGTACACTGTCACCACTCCTGTTTGATATAAATCTGGTCACATTAGTCAGAACAGTCAGTTAGATGAAAGAAATAAAAGACATTTATAGGAAAGGAAGAATAAAATTAAAAGAATTTGTATAAAATTATCATTATTTGTAGATGACATGCTCCTCTACATAGAAGACCCCAAAAATCCACCAAAAACTCCAAAAATCAATAACCAAATTCAATAGTTGAAGGTTACAAAGTCAAGAGACAAAAATCAATAGTGTCCCTGTATACCACTAATAAACTTATTGAGAAGGAAATGAGGGAAACAATACCTTTCATTTTAGCATTAAGGAAAATGAAATACTTAGGAATTAACCTAATAGGGAAAGTGAAAGCTCTCTATGATGAAAAGTACAGTACCCTGAAAAATGAGGTTGAAGAGGATATTAGAAAATGGAAAGACATCCCATTCCTGGAGCTATAGAATGAATACAGTAAAAATGGTCACATGTTCAAAGGTACTAGTATACAAATTTAACGTAATCTCAATCAAAATAACAATAACATTTCTCACAGAGATATAGAAAACAATCCTAAAATTCAGATGGAAGCAGAAGACACCTAGAACAACAACAATATCCCTAGGCAACAAGGGCAAGGCAGGAGGCATCTCAGTTCAGAACCTGAAGTTGAAGTATAAACATATAGCAATTAAAAGAGCATGGTGCTGGCAACAAACAGACAGCTGGATGGATGCAACAGAAAAGAGGGCACAAAAACAACGCCAAGCAACCTCAGCTACCTGATCTTTGACAAGGGGCCAAGTACTTTCCCTGGAGGAAAGACAGCCTCTGACAACTGGTGGTGGGAAAATTGGCTATCTACATAGGGAAGACTGAACCTAGACCCGTATCACTCAGCACACACTAAACTGAAGTCAAAATGCAACAGCGGCCCACATCCTCTCTCCGTCACCTTGCTAAGCCCAGTCCTCTCTGCTCCCTAGACCTGAAGCAGAGGTTGCAAAGCTACCCTCTGTCTTTCCTCTCATGGTGCACTGATCCAAAGAGGGTGATGTCCTGAAAATCGCCCCGTATCAGGTGCTGGGCTGTACCCGAGGCAGACCTGGGTTGTTCAGGGAGCCTCTCCCTGGCTTGGGGCTTCCTCACTGTGCCCTCAGGGCTTCTTTTTTACCTAACTTAGCCCAGGTCCTTTCTGCTCTTCTTGCCTGAAGCACACTTCTCACAACTAGATTCTGACAGTCCGTTCTCCCGGTGCCCTGAGGTGAAAGGGGTGATCCCCTGAGACATTTTTCCTCTGATACAAGGCTTCTTTGATCTACCTGAACCCCAGGCCTTTTGCTCCTCCTACCTGAAGCACAGTCCTTAGAAAAATGCCCTGACTCTCGGTACCCATGGAGGGGAAAGGGGGCAATCTCATGAGAATTATGCACTGTGAGGTGCAGGTCAGTAAGTGAGGTTTTTCTCGAACATTCTGAGATTGTCTTCGGGGGTGGACATTCCTCAATACCACCAACAGCCCCTCACCTGGACCTAACTGATCCCAGGCTCTCTCTGCTCCTCTCACCTTAAATTCGGTCCTCAGAACAAGGCTCTGATATCTTCTCCGGACCCAGGGAGGACAAAAGGAGCCTCTCCTGAGAATTCAGCACCTCCTGCTGCAGCATAGGCAACAGAAGTTGTTACAGAATGTTCTGGGATCCTCCCTCCTGGCTGAAGCTTTCTGTTCCCACATCATTCACCTTGACCTAAGTGACCCCAGGTCCTCTCCACTCCTCCTGAAGCCAGGCCCTCAGCACAAGGCTCTGACTCCACACTCGTTGTCCCCTTAGGCAAAGTCGAGACATCACCAGAGAATTCTTCCCAGAAGTGCTGGGTAACAACAGGGTAAATCTGGATCAATCCAGGTTCCTGTCTCCTCACTCCCCCCACAACCCCCCTCAGTATGACCCCTCACTGAGCGCAGCCCGATCTGATCTGCTTGCTCACCTGAAATACACAGCTCAGAACAGGACCTCTTGTAGTTCTGACTCAAAGGAGACGCAGAGAGTGAATGTCCTATCTGGCAAAGTGCACGTGGTCTCCCAGGTCTGGCAGTAGGAGGAAAAAGGAATTCTCCAGGCTCCTCCCTCTTCCGGAGGGATCAACACCTTAGTTCCTGTCAGAACTTGTACTCTGGTCTTCTATGGACCTGACTCTGTTCCCCTCTGTCCAAGGCACTCGCTATCTCCCAGATCCTCTGTGGCTGCAGGTCATTCTTACAAATCATCCCCTGTGAGGTCCGGGGTTGACGAGAGAGGAAGATCTGAAGTTTGGGGACACTCTCTGTGAGTTGGGACATCTCTCCTCCCCCTAGAGCCCATCACTATGACCTCTAAAGGACCCCACCCACTGTATTCCTTTCACGTGAAGCCTGAACCTCACAACAGTTTCTTCTGTTGCTCTAAACCAATGAGACCCAGTCAATGAACCCCACCTACAGTAAAGTGCCTGGGGTCTCACAGCAGAGGTGTTCCCACATCCTCCCTAGTGAATGTTAGCTTGGTTCCTGGCAAAGCGTGGACCCCCGTCCCCTATGCACTGGATCTTGTTCCCCTCAGTCCAAGCTCCCCCGGGTGCAATGTGGTCCCACTTGAAAATCCTCCCAGACAGTGCAGGAATGGCAAACAGGCTATCTGGACTGTTTGGGGACCTTCTCTCTGGGACGGGGCTTCCACAATCCTCCTTCAGCTCTCACCTCGACCCCTACCAGAGCTGGGGCCCTCTCCACTCCCCTCACCTGAAGTGCGTACCTCAGAACACGACCATCTCTCTGGTCCCAAGAGGTGACAGTCGGCAGCTGTGACATCTGTCACTGTGCCTGGGTGTGACAGGAGGGTAATAACTGTATTCTGTAGGTCACCACTGTCCTTCCTAGAGCTCTTCACTTTGGTTCTTGGCACAGCCTACAGCCCCGTCCTCCGTGGACCTGAGAATGTTCCCCTCACAGGGAGAATCTGACTCCCAGGGTTCCCTGGGGCAGAAGGGAGGAGACTCTTATTTGATCATAGAATAACTATGGCTGCTGTGCATGATTCAGGGCTGTATCTGCTTTTCCATTTCTCTTGCGTTCTTTACGCCCTGGTAAATAGCAGTTGTTTTGACAGTCACCCACCAGGGTGGGCACAGGGTGCTACTAGCAGAATCTCTGCAGCCGTGCTCTCTCCACTCTCCTGCTGTCCTCGTGTTTCCCCTGGCCATGGAGACCTCTGGAGTGAGGCGCTGCCCCCCACTGTGCATTGTAGTAGAGGCGGGAGTTTGCAGCTTTCTTCTGCCTCAGGCTGTCATGCTCCTCCTCTGCAGGCCACCCTCATGCTGTGAGGTTTACACTTAGTTGCTCATGTTGTTTGCTAGACTTTACTCCCTCTCTCTTCTGTTGCTTTCCAAGGTTAATTCAGGAAGCAAAAAGAAGCCTAACTTGTTTGTCATTTTGGCCTCTAAAGTTAAAATGTTTTCTCCCAGCCATGAGAAATCTCATAAATAAATGTCTGTTACAATGAATAGATACAGATAAAGTAGATATAATATGGATCCAGGTTTATTCTTTGCATATGGATATCCAGTGGTTTCAGAAGTTGTTTTAGTGAATCTCCTTTCTCTCCTGTAATGTTCACTTACATCTTTCCCATAATTAATTATTTGTGTATGCAGATACATGTGATTTATCCCTGCACTTCATTCTATTACATTGATATGTTCATAGAGTTATTTCTCTGTCTTGTTTGTTGTCAGTTTATAAATTTTGAAATGAAGTAGGGTATCACCCTCAGCTTTGTTCTTTGTTAAAGAATTTACTTGGTTGTTCTATGACTTTTACATTTTTTATGAATGTTAGACAGGTGTTTTTACTTAGAGATTACTGAATTTAGATATTTGGGAATAATTATTTATTGTAATACTAGTGAATCATGGAGATTTAATCAAAACTTACATCTCTATTTATTGAGATCTTCATTATCTGTTCTTTCCAACATATTTGTCAATTTACAGACCTTTTTTTGTTAGATATCCTTTTTAATTCATATTTTCTAATCTTATTTTAGATTATACAATTCAATACCAATTTCTAATTTTTCATATTCAGTATAAAAGTGCATGTATAATGATCTAGTGTCCAGTAACACATGCAAACTCAATGATTAGCTCTAGAGTATTTTTTTTTTTTGAGACAGGGTCTCACTATGTAGTTGAGACTGACCTGGAGCTCACTATGTAGCCCAGGCTGGTCTCGAACTCACAGCGATCCTCCTGCCTCAGCCTCCCAAGTGCTGGGATTAAAGGCATGAGCCACCACATCCGGCTCTAGAGTATTTTTTAATGACAGATATTTATAAATACAGTTTCTTATTTTTCTGCAAATAGTTTTACTTATCCCTTGTGGAGACCTGTATACAAATCTTGTTCCATGGAACAGATGTTGAACAATCCCACCAAACCCCATCCTCCTGTAGGAATTCATCATTCTGCATTTCTTATTAATACAGCCACTATGGAAAACAGTGAGGCAGTTCATCAACTACACACAAGCAAACATCATGATAACCAAGGAAATAAATACATGCATCACTTTCAAAGGTTTCCCTATATTCCATTGTGCCTTGATTTTTAATTAGTTAGGAATCTGTAGCATGAGACCTGTCCCTCTGATAAAGTTTGAAGCTCACAGCACCATACTTCTAACTGTGAACATATGTTGTACAGCAGATTTCTAGGCCTTACTCTCCTGGCATAATTGAAACGTTACACTAATTGAGCAACAGCACCCCATTTCCTTCTCCCCCCAGATCCTGACCACCGACATTATATTCTCTGCTTCTATGAGTCTGACTAATTTTGATGTCACATGTAAGTGGAACTGTTGCACGTGTGTCATTTTGTGACTGGTCTATTTCACTGAGCATAATATAAAAAGCAGCATCATTTGCTGTACTCCCTAACCACTTAGGTGTAAATCTGAAAGTAACTTGCAGGCTCTGTTTGCTGAAGACTACATTGTGAATCTGATAAAAATAAAAGGGGATCTAAATACTGAAAAGATACAGCGTGGTCCTGAGTTGGAAGACTTGCTATCGTTAAGATGTTAGTTCTCTACATTTTTTTTCAGCTTTAATTTAGTTTATTGGTACATTTTAGGGATACAGTACAGTTACATTCATTGTTGGGATCTTGTACCTCTACATGACAAGTTTTGGTTCTCGTTTTTTCCCCTTGTCCCTGTGGATATTGTCCCATCAAAGTCACTGCAGGATTTATTTATACATTTATATATTTATGTTGTCATAGTGGTGAATAAGCTTAGGGACTTCCCACTCATCTGAATCCACAGCCTGTTGTTTTATTTTTCCTTTTGAGACAGGGTCTCTGTATATCACTAAGTTGCCTGGCTGGGGCAAAACTAGCAATCCTCCTGCCTCAACTTCCCAAAGTGCTGGCATTACAGGCATGTGCCACCATACCCAGGTATACAACAGGGTTTTAATAACTTCATTGTGATTTCTATATGCAAGGACTTTGAGGTAAAATAGAACATTTTGGAAAAAAGAATAAAATTGGAGGACTTACACTGCTCCTAGGACTTTATATAAAGTTTTAGCAAACCAAAACAAGATGATGTGATATTGATGCACAGACTGTCTGGCAGATAGATGAATGGAAAAGGATCAAAGACCTAGAAATAGACCTAAGGAAATATGGCCAATTGATTTTTGACTCAATTTCAATGGCAGTTAATGGAGAAATAATAGCCTTTCCAACAAACAATAGTGGCAGAATCTCTGCAGCCAAGCTCTCTCCACTCTCCTGCTGTCCTCATGTTTTCCCTGGGCCATTGAGATCTCTGGTGTGAGACGCTGCCCCCGACTGTGCAGCGTAGCAGAGGCAGGATTTTACAATTTTTTTCCAACTCATGTGTCATGGGCCTCCTGAGAACCCTCAGCACAGACTCCTAACTCTGCCCTTATCCAGATACAAATATCCCGTGAAACAGTCTTCAGTTTCCCCCAGGGATTTCTCCAGGTTTTTTGTTTTACGTTCAGTTGATTATGTTTGTTAGCTAGGTCTGTCTCTGTGTCTCTCTGTCTTTGTCTCTGTCTCTGTCTGTCTCTCTCCTACTGTTTTCCAACGTTAATTTAGGAAGCACAGGGTTGCAGACTAAATTGTTTGCCATTTTTGCCTTCATAGGTAAGGGGCTGAATTAAAAGGAATGGAGGAAAATTGAGATTTTTACCCTATTATAATATATTTCCTGTCAATGAAAATGACACACTGCTCTATTTGTATTAGAATCCATTTACCTGAACCTGTCTGTAGAATTTTATAGTTATATAAACTTTATACTTTTACTCAAACTTTAATCTTTTAAGCTTTGTGTAAATTATAGGTGCTGGGACTAAGAGGCCATTATTTTAAGTGGAATAAGCCAAGAACCAAATTGCAAGTACTACATGTTCTCTCTCATAAGTAGAAGCTTCAAAACAGTCAACCTGAATGTACACCAGTGATTCCCAGAGGATGGGAAGGGTGTGGGGGAGAGTGGATACAGCAAGGCTGAGTTTGAGGAGTGCGCACTGAATTCATCTGATAAAATATTACACTGAATTTCCCCATTACTGTGTATAGTTTAGAAACATTAATCAAAAGTAATGCAACATTTTAAGAAAAATAAAGAAATGCTATGTGAGTTTCCAACCTGCTAGCCTGCCAACAGCGTTCAATCGTAATAGATGACAGTTTCGCATGATCTAATTCTTCCAAATATCCCTGTTGCTGTTTGTTTCTCTCTGGAGAGATAAATTGTTATGCTGCACATCTAAAATGTCTCCCATATCCTCCCATCCAGAGGAGGGGCCTGGGGAACAGGGGTGGGTCACTTAGTAGCACTGGAAGGGTGTATTCTCTCTCCTTTCTTTTTTGTTTTGCTTTGTTTTTTGAGACAAAGTCTCACTATGCAGATCAGGCTGTCCTTGAACTCACTGTGTAGCCCTCGAAGGCATCGAACTCATGGCAATCATCCTGCCTTAGCTTCCTGAGTGCTGGGATTACAGACATGCACCACCATGCCCCGCTGTATTTGCTTCTTGCCTGAAAATTGTGAGCCAAGGTAAACCTCTCCTTTTTTCTCATGTGGTTGTCAGGTGTTTTCCCCCAGTGATAAGACATCTAATAAAGAAATATCTATAGCTATATTAATAGATATAAACATAGTATAGATCTAGGCTTACTCTTTGCACATGGATATTTAATTGTTTCAGAAGTAGTTGTTTTAGAGCTTCTTCCTTTTCACCTTAAATCTTAATTTGGATCTGTACGATAATTGTTGTATATGCAGATACATGTGGATCTATTCCTGGAGCTCATTCTGCTACACTAATATATTTCTAGAGTTACATAACTGTCTTATTTGCTCATAGTCTATAATTCATGAAAGGAGGTAGGGCTACTCCTTCAACTTCATTCTGTGAATAAAGGTTTTCATTGGGTGTTCTAGTTCCCTTGCCTTTTTACATTAACATTACAGTCAGCATTTTTATTTGGATCACATTCAGTCTACCAAGGTATTTGAGGAGAATTGACTGTGTAATTATAATGCATCAATTCGGTAACAGACAAGATTTATATCCCCATTTATTTACATATTCATTATCTCATGTCTTCCATATAGTATATTTCACAATATAAAAGTCCTCTACATTTTTGTTAGATTTATCCCTTTTCATTCATATTTTCTAATCTTATTTTAAATCATACCATTTAATTTTAATTCCTAGTTGTACATTGTTATCATAAAAATGAAAATATAATGATATTCTATCCAGTGCCATATCTAAACTCAATTATTAGTTCTAGGAATATTTTTTATTTGCAGAATTTTATACATATTATTTCTTATATTCTGTAATGTATATAAAGAAATATTATTTCTGCCTTTACAA